AAATGTGCTTCACAGCTAAATAAAAAAAAAAAAAAAAAAATGCTTTGAAGTATAAGCTTGTAGTCTAATGAGTTGGGGGGGGGGGTTAAACATTAAATAAATAATATGACAGATTAAAATAATTTACAAAAAATCCATTCTAGAAAAAAATGACTTAATATAGTTATTAAACCCAACCTCACCCCCTTTTCTCAGTAATGAGATATTCCACTGTCATGGTAACAGGTAACTGACTTCTTTTACCAAACACGTTACCATAAAAATGGAATATCCCATGACTGAATGGAGATCAGCCTGGTAAAGCATTGCCTTTTATTTCTTATTTATTAAAAATTTTACTGTAATTTTTTGACAGTAAGGTAAAAAAAATTTTCCTTGGGATACAAAATTTTTATTAATGCTATTGAAATAGACATACTTCATAAATAAAAAAAAAAATTCTTTGTTAAGATCAAAGAATTAAAAGAAATATGTACAGTGAATTGGTAATGTTAGTACAAGCAAACATTGAGGCTTACTTATGTAACATTCAATTATATTTGTCAGGACTCGTAAAGAATTAGATTTCTCTGCTTTAACAAATATTTTTTTACTATTCTTGATACTTTTGAGATCTTTTTTAATTTGTTGCTTCATAATATTATTAATATTTCTATATTTTATCGACCAAGTCCAATTAATTCAGATTCAAAAGTGCCCAACTCCTTAACATGAGGGGATAGGGCGTTATTTTTAAAACGCTATGATTCAGTGCCATCTCATACTGGAGATGAAGGATTCAATCTTTAATATCAGCTGGTACTGATGCTTAGCAGGTAGTGGGATGTTTTTAATCGAATAAGGAATGTTCACGTTTTCCATTACGCATAACTTTAAAAAGTGCTCAATAGAGTTAACTAGAGCTAGAATTATTGTTTATTTTAAAATCTATACTCGACGGGTATATTTCATCCTGAAGATCATTTAGGTTTCTGGCTTTAAGTAAATTCTGTTTATTTTAAATACCAAATTATATTTTTTTAAATAAAAAAAACTGTAATCCCAGTATGATACGTAACTGCACCAACATTACAATAACCAGCTATTGTTTTTATATATTTTTAAATTACATCAGTATATACTCAGCACCTGACAATAGCATTGTGCATGAAATTCTGAGTCAGTGAGGGGTAATATGTATATTTGTTAATATATACTTAATAGCTCTGTTTTATTACATTGAGCACAGTGTGTGTGTGTGTGTGTGAAAATGGGAGAACTAGTTTTTAAGGTATGCTATATTTATGTATAAAAGTGGCTCAATAACAGCAATAGAATATGTCGAAATATAAGAATGGACACTAATGCCAACATCAAATGAAGACAGTCCGTTTCATGCTTAAACACAATCATCAGGCCTGAAGATTGCAAACGGGGAAACAAACTGTTGCCACTGTGTTGACCCTGGTGTCCACTCGTGCATGTGTGTGTGTGTGTGGTGAGAGATACAGCTTTATACAATCCAGCTCAACTAGAAAAATATATATGAGCCAGGTTAATTACATATTTAAGTGATATCTCGGGTACAATAAGTTGATTATAAGTAAGAGTAAGATGAAGAAAGGCAAACTATATTTTTTTAATTGCATTTTTCATAAGAAAATATAAAAAAATTAGGCTTTTGCTTTGTTTTTGCATTTCATTATTTTGACAAGATATCACCTGAACCTTAAAGAAGAAAAAAAACTTTTTATCATTGAATTCCCGGCCAAGCAAAGAAAGAAAAAATGATTTTTTGAATTTAACTACTGTAATTCCCCATGTATAATATGCATTAAAAAAAAAAAAAAAAAAAAAAAAGGGGGGTGCGTATTATGCACAGCTACAAAAAAAAAAAAAAAAAAATCTTTAAAAAATTGCTGTTTCATAGGTCGATTTCAGTTGTGAAAGTACTACTCACCACAAACATACGACAATTTGACACTAACATTCAGCGATTGCAACCCCATAAGGATGTCAAATACAATCATATGTACCTAACAACACTTACAAATGTAAAATAAAATAAGAATTATCATAAAAGTAAATTAGGATAATATTATTCTATGTTTAAAATCATTTTCTTTTTTTAATAAGAGTAGAAAACGCTGGCCATAACAAAATTGGAGAGGTACAATTTGTAGGATTTGATTACCAAATAAGGAATGCATATTATGCAAGAGTAGAAGCATTTTCCCCACACTTCCAGCACAATTTTATGAAGGCATATTAAACATAGGGAATTATGGTACTCAGAGATTCTCACAAACAAATGAAGAAATTTGAATTATGACTAATTAGCAAAGTCAAGAGAGTGGTCTTTTTCTAAGCAAAATGAAAAAAAAATTATAGTATGCTTTTATAGTATAAATTCATTTGAACCTTAAAAATATTAGAGCTTATCAAATATAATAAATGTTAATAAATATACAAAGAATTACTGTAAAAAATTTCACCTAGTGTTTTGTAAAAGTTTACAAAACCCCAACCAAAGATAGTTTCTTGCCTGTAGGAATGTCATCCCATTTATCCAGATAAGAAACTACCATTCGTTTTTTTTTTGTTTTTTTTTTAAATGCAGGTTGGTACTCTATGTTATCACTGTAGGAGGCAGATTTTCAGTATTACTGAGTGTTTGTATTAGCTGTCCAACAAACAAAACTTCAACCTATAGAACTAAAATAAAAAGTTTCTTAAATACCTTTTTTCTTTTTTTTTTTAATTAGACGCTTTGAAAGATTGTTTTTAAATCAGACAAACACCTGGTATAAACTAAGTAAATATTGTAATAAAATAATTTATGCATTACACAAAGTCAAAAACCAATAAAAGCCCCTAAATTTAGTATGAAAATTTTACAGAGTAATCTCCCCTTGTCCATTGAGCCTGTTTCAAATCTCCCCACTATCCACAAAAAAATTGCTGTAAAACAGTGCTCACTATTACAGGTACAATGCTTCTTTTTGGCATGCCTCAACTACCAACATCAATAGTATGCTCGGAAACTATTATTAAAGTAAAACTTGAGAAATTAAAATAAAATAAAAAAAAAATTATGCAGTTGATTGCAGCTGAAACTGCGGATAAGGGAGACAACTCTATACAATCTGTAAATTGAGAGAGAATATATTTTTTTGTCTTCTTAGAGCTTATCAAATATAAATTTAATCTCATGACAGGAACTTATTACCAATGAAGTACAGAGCAATAAATGAATAAAACAGAACAGATATAAATAACATTCATGAAATAAATTTTTTTTTAAAAATGTTAAAGCTGAAAAAAAAACTTCAAAAACAAGAAAATCTTGTTAGTACACAAAGACAAATTTATTTTCATTTCAGAACATTAAACTGGTTGGTGATGGGGCAACTAATATGAACCCAAACTAAAAAATTCTCCTTTCAAGAATTCCACCACAACTCTTATGGACAAAAACTTCTTCATTTTGAGTTAATTTAAAAGAGGTCTACCATAAATGTACAAAAAAAAAAAAAAAAAAAAAAAAAAAAAAATATATTGAGAGTCAAAAAAAGCGTTTGGAGTAATGAATTAGACAAAGTACACATAATTTTGGCACATCTAGAAAGATAAGCTTGAAGACCATATTAAACTTGTTAGTCTAATGAAAGAATTTTTTTTTTTTTCAGGAATAGAAGCCAAAACAAAAGTTTTTAATGCTTTATCTTACCTTCCCAACAAGGACTTTGGATAGAATGTATCCCATAATCTGAGGTCATTACTTCTGTAAGTCTGTGTAAACCACATTTATAGAGCAGTGCCATGACTAACAGATAGTGATACTCCTGATTGTACGAAGCTCTCAAAGTACTCTACTATTATCATCGTGTGTGTGTGTGTGTGTGTATATATACAAGAGATTAATAAAAAATATTTTAAATTGCTACGCAAAAGCTTTCATGTAGCAATTTAAAGTGTTTCTATAATAATCTCTCATAATAAAAAAAATATAATACTGTTTTGGTCTACTTTGTATTGAGCACGTTTTTAAAAAGTAAATGCTACAAACAAACTGGATTTTTTTTTTTTTTTTTACACCATTTGTTCTTTCTCTTATTTGGATATCAGGGGAGACTGGGATGTCTTGCCTTGGATTACAAGCAATCTAGAAGAAAGGAAACTGATTTCCCACCCAAGATGTTTGAAGACTACATACATGCCCCACTGTGCACCATTTCTGCTAACAGTTCTTTCAAAAAAAAAAAAAAAAAAAAAAAAAAATTGTGGCTGGTTCTGCACAAGCCTTCAGCACCATAATCAAATTAGGAGTGGTGCATCTAACAGTTTACTTCTAAACTGAACTATTGGGACTTCACAAATCAAAATCAACAGAAGAGTATATATTTTGCATATTTCATTTAGTATGACAGACAAGGCATATTTTGGGAGTTTTTTTTTTTTTTTTTTTAATTATTTCTTATTCTTATCCTTGCACTTTTTATTTTTTTGAGGAACATGTACGTGGAGAAATTATCAAGAGTTTATTTTCCAAGCACTTTTAGAAAAAACTTTCACAATTTTCTTGTGTGTGTGTGTGTGTGTGTGTGTGTATGTGTGTGTGTGTGTGTACACACACACATGTACACGGTGGGGAGGAGGGTTCATAGTAACAAGGATTGTTAGAATATCAGTTTTGTCTCCTATACTGTGTTGTGTTAAATTAGTAATAATTTAAGTTTTGGTGTAGTTTTTGCTTAGTTTCTGAACACAGCTATGACACCTTAGCCTCCATTCAAAAGGTGCTATTAAGGGAAGTTTTTTTTTGCTTTTACAACTAGAATTTTAATAATATATATATATATATATATATATATACGCACACACACGTTGAAGATCAAAATGGATATTGGAATCCGATAGGATAAGATAAGATGATGTGGTTTCTGCTATCTGGTACAATTCTTCGTAAAGCTGTAGCACCAGTCCACATATTCAAAGAAGGATGATATTTGCCAAGACCCTCAGGAGGTGTGTGTGTGTGTGTGTGTGAAGAGAAATATAAAGAAGAGAAGAAGAAGAAGAAGAAGAGAAGAAGAAGAAGAAGAAGAAGAAGAAAAGAAGAAGAGAAGAAGAAGAAGAAGAAAAGAGAAGAAGAAGAAGAAGAAGAAGAAAAGAGAAGAAGAAGAAGAAAAGAGAAGAAGAAGAAGAAAAGAGAAGGGGAAAAGGAGGAGAAGAAGAAAAGAGAAGGGGAAAAGGAGGAGAAGAAGAAAAGAGAAGGGGAAAAGGAGGAGAAGAAGAAAAGAGAAGGGGAAAAGGAGGAGAAGAAGAAAAGAGAAGGGGAAAAGGAGGAGAAGAAGAAAAGAGAAGGGGAAAAGGAGGAGAAGAAGAAAAGAGAAGGGGAAAAGGAGGAGAAGAAGAAAAGAGAAGGGGAAAAGGAGGAGAAGAAGAAAAAAGAAGGGGAAAAGGAGGAGAAGAAAAAAAGAAGGGGAAAAGGAGGAGAAGAAGAAAAGAGAAGGGGAAAAGGAGGAGAAGAAGAAAAGAGAAGGGAAAAGGAGGAGAAGAAGAAAAGAGAAGGGGGAAAAGGAGGAGAAGAAGAAAAGAGAAGGGGAAAAGGAGGAGAAGAAGAAAAGAGAAGGGGAAAAGGAGGAGAGAAGAAGAAAGAGAAGGGGAAAAGGAGGAGAAGAAGAAAAGAGAGGGGAAAAGGAGGAGAAGAAGAAAAGAGAAGGGGAAAAGGAGGAGAAGAAGAAAAAGAGAAGGGGAAAAGGAGGAGAAGAAGAAAGAGAAGGGAAAAGGAGGAGAAGAAGAAAAGAGAAGGGGAAAAGGAGGAGAAGAAAAAAGAGAAGGGGAAAAGGAGGAGAAGAAGAAAGAGAAGGGGAAAAGGAGGAGAAGAAGAAAAGAGAAGGGGAAAAGGAGGAGAAGAAGAAAAGAGAAGGGAAAAGGAGGAGAAGAAGAAAGAGAAGGGGAAAAGGAGGAGAAGAAGAAAAGAGAAGGGGAAAAGGAGGAGAAGAAGAAAAGAGAAGGGGAAAAGGAGGAGAAGAAGAAAAGAGAAGGGGACAAGGAGGAGAAGAAGAAAAGAGAAGGGGAAAAAGGAGGAGAAGAAGAAAAAGAGAAGGGGAAAAGGAGGAGAAGAAGAAAAGAGAAGGGGAAAAGGAGGAGAAGAAGAAAAGAGAAGGGGAAAAGGAGGAGAAGAAGAAAAGAGAAGGGGAAAAGGAGGAGAAGAAGAAAAGAGAAGGGGAAAAGGAGAAGAAGAAAAGAGAAGGGGAAAAGGAGGAGAAGAAGAAAAGAGAAGGGAAAAGGAGGAGAAGAAGAAAAGAGAAGGGAAAAGGAGGAGAAGAAGAAAAGAGAAGGGGAAAAGGAGAAGAAGAAAAGAGAAGGGGAAAAGGAGAAGAAGAAAAGAGAAGGGGAAAAGGAGAAGAAGAAAAGAGAAGGGGAAAAGGAGAAGAAAGAAAAGAGACGAGGAAAAGGAGAAGAAAGAAGAGACGAGGAAAAGGAGAAGAAATCTTAAAAAAAAAAAACAGGAAAAATTCTCAAGGATTTTGAAAATCAAATGGCTGACCTCATCCAGTAGACAAAGTCCCCTCATGAGAATCGAAGAAAAGAAAAAAATTGCCAATATCACTGATCTAGAGATCCAGAGTAAAATAAACTGCAAATCTCAATTTTATCAGAGTGTGGGGGGGACCATTGGAATATGAAGGCATGAATCCTTAAGATCCTTGCAATGAGATAGGACAGTTTCAATTCTTTCTTAGATTGCCAATTTATTTTAGATAACTTTAAATTTGTAAAAATACCAAGAAGAGTGCTGAAGAATTGAGAAGTAGACTTGTCACATGAAGGATGAATCAGATTCGACCAATTGGAAAACTCACAAAAATCAGGTCATCACTTATTTTAAAATTCTTCATTGACTAAGATAAAATCAAGTCATGGTAATGTCATAGTCGTAGCTATATTATAGAGGCTTCAGTTGTACCTCAAATATACAAGATTTATTTTGATGCTACAGCGTATGTGAGAGAAAGAAATAAGCAAGAAAATCTTAAACAGAATTTTTAACTCATTTCAATCTTTCAGTGACGGAGAGAAAATGTTGCTCAGACCAAAATCCCAATTCATTTTTATTTGGATTTAAAGGGAGATAACTTGTTTCTTCATCTGTTATTTGCCAACATCTTGACAACAAAGTGATAAAAATTAATGATCTTACTGCAATCAATAAATAAGAAAATAAAATTATCGGCAAAATGACATTAAAAATGATTGAATGATAAAGATGATACAAATCAACGATACTGAACCAATGATTTTGAGTCAAACTGTCAACATGAAGAGGATCAGCGACATGCTGTCAGGAAGGCCCGACTCTCCCAGCTGTGTCCACCACCCACACACCTCTCTGACTCCTGCTCACAACTCTTCAGGAGCAGGCCAGGCTATCAGCCACCTCTGTCATTGCCACCAGAGTGGTGAAAGGGAATAAAGATGCAAGATAGTGGCAACCAGATAAAGATTAGTTTGAAAGTGACAAAAAAAAATTGATTTAAGATCATTTTACTTATATATAATACAAATTTAACAGAAAAAAATGCCAAAAAACTTTTTGTCATTGATAAAGAAGCAGACGACATGCGTTGAACGGATGTCATAATTCATTGAAAAATGCACCCCTACCCTACCTAGACTTAACCTCTTTTTCGAACGTAATTCATAATTGACACAATAATAGTTAATAAAAATGGACACGCTACCACCACTTGAATTTGCTTGAAGATGAAACAGAACTAATGCTTTTAATTTAATTATATAATTAAATTTGAAGTTTTTAGCTTTGGTTTTTGAAACATGATAATTCCTGTGTAGCAAAGGAACCATATTTTTAAGTCAGTTAATTTATAATATTTATGCTCTGTAAATTTACATTGAGCACTGTTTTGTAAAAATAAAAATATCAATAAGAACACCGGATCATATATCATACTGTTCTTTCTTTTTTTTTTTTACAAAATATATAACTTAAAAATTTAAATTTACATTTCTTTTTAACCTGTGGTAAGCTGACAAGTGTCACATAATATGAACTTGTTCAAATAAACCAGAAAGAAAGAAATGAAAAAGTAAAAAAAAAAAAACATTAATTCTGCTAAATTAGGTCTACAGCCTCCATACATCATCATCTTTAATAAATGCACCATGAAGAATACCAACTATATATCCTGGTTAACCAATTGATGCCTATAAATACATTTTGGGGATTATAGGCATCATATTAATAGGTTACAGAGAGTAACCTATAATTAATACTAGATTTTTATAAACCTACTGTTAATAGTATTTTGTGGTGAGTATTCTTCTATGTACTATGTATCTTCAGGATATTGACAATCATGGCTCTCTACAATTTTCTGTCCTTTGCAGCTCTTAATAAATTGGGGTTTTTTTTTTTTTGTTTTTTCTTATTTCTCCTAAACCTTGTTCTGTCATTCATTTACTCAAGATTGCTAGACAAGTTTATGCATTATTTTCCTATTCCTGTAGCCTTGAATCTGTACTGTGAGTATCAAATGCAAATAAAAAGACAAACCAAAGGTGGCAATATGTCCTCATGTATACTTCTTGAAGCGAAAAGAGGTGAAAAATATTGACAACTTTGTGCAAAGAATGCTTAATTCCATGATGCATGGAACACTTTAAGCAGTATCATACTACTTCTATGTGCCATGTCTCTTTAGGTCATTGGCAAACGTGGCTCTCCACAATTTCCTGTCCTCTGTAGCTTTTAATAAATAGTCTTTTGTTATCTCTCCTACAACCTGTTCTGCCATCCATATATTCAAGCTTTCTAGATAGCTAAGGTATTAGTTTTCTCCAAAACCTCGCTGTTGCTCACATTTTCGGTCCATGGTTGGTTAATTCGTAGAAAAATGCACGAAAAGGAAAATTGTGTTTGAGAATAATTCAAACTTAACCAAATTATGGCAGGTGTTATCTGACCCACCCATGTAGTTAAAAAATACTAAATCTTATTTCATCAATGTAAATTTTAAAATTTTTATTTATTTTTTTTTTTTTTTTAAATTAATAGTTGAAAAACAAATGCCATAGAATATGTGGCTGGTTTGGAGGCGTTATCTTCGATGGGGAAGGGTGGATAAAATGAGCATTAGCTGCAAATGCAAATCTTACTTTTCACAAGAACCCAAAGAAATTCATCTCCAAATTTTTAGTGATTTGGAATGTCTTTAAATTTAAAAAAAGTTTAGTACAAACATTTAAATAATCTGAAGAACAATTCAAAGTGCAAAGATTTAGCTAATTTTCTTAGATAAAACAATAAATATATTCAAAAGCAAGAAAGGAGAACCCCAACAAAAAAAAAAACAACTTATCTTCTCTATTTATCTCTATAGTTTTCTATTTATAAACATTCAAAAGGTCAGAGTGTAAAGAGAATAAGCAATTCAGTCATCTGTCACATTACCCAAGAGGGTTGGATTTAGAGCCCAAAACACTTCAGGCAAATACTGGATAGCAAAAAAGAGGCAATAATTCTAGAAAGCACAGTGAGCATATATTGTAAGGTCTTCAGCTACTGCTGTAAACCAGTGTGAAAAAGGAGTATTGAACTTGGTGACTAATGAAGCTGATTAACTAGGACCCAGCCAGAGAGATTTTCCTGACAGAACTAATCCACTTCTGTTTAGCAGATATTCATTCCTCACAGAAAAGGATTTCTCTTTCTTTGCTGAAGTTACAGGAACCTTTCAAGAGGACATTCAAAGATTCCTTAAATAAAACTAATTTCTTTTTATCTTTATTTTTGCAATTGCAAATTGGATTTTAAATCTAACATAAAATTCAGTTTCTATTTTGTATGCACGAAAAGAAAAAAATTATACTACTAAAGTGTTAATTATTATCAGTGGAAAAATTAACAGCCCAATGAATTGTGCATTAAGAAACTTATAAAAAATAAAGCTAAGTATGTAATTAAATTGGAGGGAAACAATTTGAACATGGCAAAAATATATATATATATTTTTTTTTCTTTAATCCTAATTATTCTGATACTGAACTTTAAATCTGCATCAGATTCCTATCAATGTCTGTGCAAATTAAAAGTATCAGCAAACATCTTATGGATTGGGGGCTCGGCAGAGAAGCATCAGTGGGCAGAGAATAAAGAAATAGAAAATAAAATAAAAATAGAAATTTCAAAATGGCAGCACCACCATCATTTGGCAAAAATGATTGTTTTATAGAGATTGAAGCAATAGATTATAAAATACAGGTATTTCTTTTCTATGGATATTTTGTGGTGTTTATTTGGAGAAATTTTTTTAAATTCTATGGAAGAATTTTCCATTTTAGTAAATTGGAGAAAAAAAAAATAAAAAAAGAAACTAAAGCAAAAAAAAAAAAAAAAAAAATTAAACAATGAGGAATTCTTTTTATGACATGGAAAAAAAAACAAAAAAAAATTTATATGAAAGAAAATGTTTGTTTGGTTTTACAACTGCCCTTGTCTTATATTCTTATGAAAATGAAAACAACCAAAGCCATTAGAATAATTTAAGGACATATATTACACACAAAAAACACATACATTGTACATAGGATAGGTACATGAGTGTATCTGTGTGTGTGTAAAAATAGAAGGTTAGATTTTAATTTCCACTGTTTCAATTCTTTCTCCAAGTGGAGAGAGAAAGAGAAAGAGCAAGAAAAAGAAAAAAAAAATGAGATTACTGATTCTCCTACAGGTTTAAACTTGGATGAAGATGAGATTAATCTGACTGGTGAATCAGGATAGAGGCTGTGAAATACAAGCACAGAGATGGCGGGATGGCTGTAATTGTGAAGAATCAATGGCCAAGGAAGGACTGTGTTGTGTTGCTGCTGGACATGTTAGACGATTCGTGGAAACTGTCTTGGATGTGACCCTGTTTCAATGCACTGAGCTCAGTGGTCAGAGTAAGCACGTGACGAGCAAGTTGCTCATTTCGACGCTTTAAACTACATACCATATCTGCTTGCCTCTCCAACAACTTTTCACTGAAAGAAAGTCCCCTGGAGGAGAAAAAAAACAAAATTATTTTAGTGAATAAATTATTTTAAAATAAAGTCTGTTTTGTAATTTGGAGGCTGAGTTGTCAACATTCCAGAAGTTATTTGAATTCTGTAAGATGAATAAACCTCCAAGAAAACCATATAGCAACAACTTTGTAAGAGAAATAGTGCAACAAATATTTGTGAATAGTACACTATTAGATGAGAAAGGAAGAGGTTTCAATAAGACAACCACTCTATGCATCCTCATTAATAAAGTTTTTTTTTCTCATGAGATATGTAAATGACAAAGAACAGTATATATATAAAATCCCATACAACTTTAGTTTGGTTTGGTTTTTGTTTTACGGCATATCAACCTCAATGCATTATTTAATGCCGACAAAATTTTTATTGCTGGTAATATGTTTTTCTTCAAAAATCTATTTCTGACAATATTCCTCCTTGAAGAAATCTATAGCTAGTCATATTTTTTTCAAAGAATGTATAACCGTTTGTATTGCTGGTATTTTTTTTTTAAAGTATTGCTGATAATTTATCCTTTAAAAATTATTGCTGGTAATAATTTTTTATTACAAAGTATTTCTGGTATTAAAACCTATTTTTACACAAGTTTGGGTGTGAACTATTTGCCCATAGCTGGGACCCTACCAGGTGCTACCACCCTGGGTCAGGGTGGACCTAGGAACACTAGCAATTAAGAGTTTGGTGAAAGAAAAGGAGAAACCAACTGACCTGTGATGGTTAGACTATATTTGCCAAGAGAAAGTATAGTACTACACCATTTGGGATAAGGTTAAAGAAAAATATTAAAAAAAGTAATCAGTTTAACATTTTTTTCCCCACTTCAGAATCTTAGCTTAAACTAGGATTTCTCAATCTTTTTTTCAATTCAGGACACACTTGTAGAATAACAAAAAATCTGGAGCATACTATTTTAATAAAGAAAATTTATTCCTGAAATTTGAAAATATGAAATTTTGGTTTAGCATTCCCAAAGATTAGCAGTACAGTTTTTATTTAAAGGGATTAAAGAATATATTTTGTTTCTTTAGAGAGGTCAATAATAACTGATTTAAATCCCTCGAGGAAGGCAAAAGGGAAAGAATTATCTACTACTTAAAGATTAAGGAATTTAGCATTCAGTTTAAAATATCAAATGACAAAAACTTGACAGACATGAAAGCCATGTGTTCAGTGTCTGTAGCTTTTTAAAAATAAAAATTTTTTTTAAATATAAAAATAATTCATAACTCTTTTATTAACTTGGGGTGCAGCTGGCTACCTTTCAAGGACACAATGTACCCAGGCACACTAGTTGAGAAACACTGGTTTAAACTGACAGATTTTCATGTCTCATAAGGAGTGTGGTATCCTATGCTCACGTTGTATGAACAATAGTCTTGCCTATGCAGGCTATATAATTTGTGACTTATCTCCCTTTTATTTTATAGCCGAGTTTCATTTAAATAAAGCTTAGTATTTTTACTTCTATTATGAGTTTCGTTTTACTTATCACAATTTATTTAGCTAAAGCAATACAAAAAAAAATGAACATGTAAACAGTATGGAAGCCAAAGCACTTGGATACTAACCCCTGTCTATCAACAGCTGCCAGAGATTATCACTATTGGAAACTATCCTGTTGAACTATTTTGGCGATTACAAGGAAAGAATTCCTAGCAAAATACTGGGCCACCTTGAGCGGTACGAGTTCCAGCATGTTCAAATATATAGAAGAATCTACAAATTTTGACATGGCCATACAAAAATTAGATAATTTATTTGTTAAAACAGCTAATGAGGTTTTTGCAAGGCACTTGTTGGCTATGAGATAACAAGCCAGAAGAGTCACTGAACAAATTTTTCAGTGAGTTGGAAAACCTGAGGAAGAACTTTAACTCCAGAGATCATATTGCTGAAGAATGCAGCAATGAAGCTAAATAAGATGCCTTCATTACAGGCATAAGTTCACATCCCATATGGCAGCGTCTCCTGGAAAATAAGCCTCTGGACCTACAAACAGCTTATACTCAAGCTTCTGTACTGGACTTAGCCAAACAGAATAACGACTTGTATGCTACTTCAGAATCTCAAATAGTAGCAATAGTCAACCCAGAACCCAAAAAAGTATGTGAGAATTGTTATAAACCTAACAAACCAGCAGTAAATGCTTTTTCTGTGGATTTACCTATCATTCACAGGACCATAGCCCTGTTCGCGTACCTACTTGTAAAAAGTGCTCAAAGCAAGGACATTTTGCTCATGCTTGTTGATCCAAACATTCATCAAATTCATTAGCAACAGTGGCTGGTCCTCATATACTGACCACACTTACTAATGTACCACAAGAACTTTAACCCACAGCAACACACGTAATTGTTAATGGAAAAAGACTAAGCACTCTACTTGATTCTTGTAGCACTGACAGTTAGCGAAGGAGTTGTGCAGGAACTAAACTTGAAAGTTCCCATGTCTAGTAAGGGTATCACCATGCCCCAGAAAACTTTAAACACTAATTCAAAGCGCTTTGTAGTTATAAATCTAACCCTTTGCCTTAATGACCTGTCATATGTTGCCACTTGTTTGGGTGTTTTGAAGGATTTGTGTTGTGACGTGATACTTGGCCAGGATTTTCTGTGTCCGCATCAAGAGGGGGCAACATTCAAATACAGTGAGTCCCTGCCCAAATTAACTGTGGACAGTGCTTGTCAATTCTGTGCATTAAATGCAGCAGACATAGAAGAACCTTCATTATTTCCTAATTTATCACTGAACTGTAAGCCCATTGCTGCCAAGTTGAGGCACTTTAACAAGAAAGATCAGTCGTTCACCATGAAAGAAATTCAGAACTTGCCTTTAAAAAAGCATAATTGAAGAAAGCATTTCACCATTGTGAGACCAAGGATTCAAGGATGGTGAAGGATTCTAACGACAGTCATAAAAAAAACCAATGTGCATAAATTACTCACAGACAATACATCTATACACAGAACTGGACATTTAACCCTGCCAGGAATTGATAAAATGATGAATGACCTCACCAGATACAGCATTTTTTCTCAATTCAACCTCAAAAGTGCCTAACACCAGGTTCTGCTTAAAGAATCAGATAAAAAAAATACACTGCTTTTTGAAACGAATGGTTGATTTTTTACATTTTATAGAGTTCCATTTGGGGTCAAAAACGGAGTTGCCTCATTCCAGAGAGCTATTGACAGAATAATAAAAGAAAGAAAACCTATATGGTGCATTTCCTTACAGTGACAATATCACAATTGCAGGGTGCACACTAACAGAACACAACCAAAACAAAAAAAAGTTCCTGGAGGCTATCACGTAGGCTAAACTTACCTTCAACAAGTTGAAATCTGTGCCTTCGGTACACTCCATCAATGTGTTGGGATACTGTGTTTGCAGTGGAGTTATTAAGCCTGACCCAGAAAAACTTTGTCCCTTGAGAGAGCTACCCCCACCAGAAAACTAAATCATTAAAAAGGGTGCTGGGCATTTTTGCATATTATGCAAAATGGATAAACAAATTTTGTAATAAAACTCAGCCTTTAATAGAAACTAAAAAATTCCCACTTGAGAAGAGGGCACTTGAAGCATTCAATCAATTAAAAAAAAAAGGAACTTGGGGGGGGGGGGCACACTACAACCAGTAGATGAAAGCTTACCATTCGAAGCTGAGTGCAACATATCAGATGTCACCATTTCTGCCATCCTCAACCAAGGCAGACACCCAGGTAGCATTCATATCAAAAACACTACAAGGGAGCGAATTAAAAAATCAAATAGTAGAGAAGGAGGCGATGACAATTATTGGAGGGTGGTTCGCAAGGGGAAACCACTATCACGACAACATTTCACCCTAGTTACTGACCAAAGATTAGTGGCCTTCACGTTTAGCAACAAAAGGTGTACCAAAATTAAAAATGCCAAGATTCAGGAGGGCCACTTAGAACTTGCAGTATTTGATTATACAATAAAATATTGTCCTGGCAAGGAGAATGTAGTTTCTGACACATTTTATTATGGATGGTGATACCCCAATTTTCCAAGGAGCAAAGAATGTGGTATCCTACATTCATGTACACTAGGTCACCAAATACAGAAAGATATTGGGAGGGAAGCCATACAAAACTTTTTTATTACTATTCAGTATTCAGATATTGTAATAAAAAAATAAATAGTGTGTGTGTGTGTGTGTGTGTGTGTGTGTGTGTGTGTGAGTCATCAGCACAGAAAGTGGGGTCAGCCAGCTGAGTTCAAATTCCAGCCAATGATTGTTGAATTCATTTTATCAAAATCCACTGAGAAAGGCATGAATCCATCTAATCTTCCTTCAGCTATGGGGTAAATAGTAGGGAGGCTAGGCTCTCTAACCTTGGGTAGCAACCAGCCTAAGAACTGAATTCCAAATCCATGAAGGCAACCAGAAACCACTTTGCTATCTTTACCAAAAATATATGCCATTTCACAGATAATGGTAAAGGAATTTGGAGCACCATGATAGCCTGCAGCCCAAAAAGGATGTAACATTCAAAAAGAAAGGAGGACTTATACCCCATTTTTCCACGGAGCAAAGAATGTGGTATCCTACGTTCATGTTGTACGAACAACAGACTCACCCATGCGGGCAATATAATCTGTGACTTAACTCACCACTATTTTGTAACTAATTTTTGTTTAGCTAAATAAAGCTTAATACTTTTACTCCAATTCTGAGTTTTGTTTTACTTATCACAAGGAGCAGAAAATAATTTACAGCGAGAATACTACCTTGGCTTATCACATAATACCTGGTGATATCAGGTGCATTCAAAAATGGGTGCACTCCCACCCAATATTTAACTTCTGAATTTTTTAAAAAAAATTTCCTTTTATAAAAATTTGATTTCAGAAAAATTATTCTGAGATATTTACATTGCCAGCAAAAGAATAACTGACATACTGTCAAGGTTAACATTGAGTGTAGCCTTCCAAAAAAAAAAAAAAAAAAAATAGAAGTATAATGAAACAAGAGAATTTCATTAGAAACATCTAGCTTGGTTTTTGCTATATGTCTAGAAGCTCAACAAAATCCAAAAAAGAATTAGCAATATTATTGATTCTGACCTGGCATACCAGTACTGTAAGCTAGCTTCCCTTTGGCATCTTCTATTAATAATTTCAGGGTAATTGTTCTGACACTTTCCTTGTTAGTACCCAGACTTCACAAACCTAAGTGCAAGTACTAGAATAGTAGTGAGGCCTCAATTTCATTTTTGAAAATGCTAATTGTAACTAAGTTTTATGCTAACAGTTTTTTTTCCTCTTGCACTTCTTGCATGCAGAATTCTCTTCCAACTTCTTACTTTCCTGTCAACTACAATCTTCAAAAATTTAAATGTAATGTCAATCATCATCTGTCATTTTGAATCCTGTTCTTTTATTGCCCTCTCCATTTCACACTCAGAATCCTAGTTGCTTTTATTGCTTTGCTTGGGGTGAAATGATTTCAAAAATGAAATTACATTGTTCTGCTCTTTATGTAGAAATTTCTGAATATCCTGCCAGTTACTCTGATTAAAGAATAGAAACACAAGCAGATTTTCTTCCAAAAATTATTTATCATACATACCGTTCTCCAATGTCCTGAATATCTCGGGAATAAGGAGCTCCACTTGGCATATTATCTTCTTCAATTGTGTCAGGATTTTTTTTGGCTTGATTGAAATGAATCACTTTATCTAGAATTAAAAGATAAAATAGGAATCTTAGGATAAGAAAAAATAAAAACCTCAAAATTTACAATGTGTTACTGAAAGAAAAGTCCACATTAAAGAAAGAAAAACAAAAGCTACCCTATTTTTCCGTTCATAAGAAGACCTGTAAATCCAAAAATCATCCTTAAAAATTGAGAGGTGAGGGGGGCACCTTATACTACAGTTCTAAAAAAAAAAAAAAAAAAAACAAACTTAAATTCCGAGTCATATTTGTCAGTCAGTTAACAGCAGTCTTGCTGTGATAACCAATAACGTACATAAAAGTTTCACATTATCAAATAAAGTGATAATAAAAGTAATAAAACCATTCCCACCTTTATATATCATGCTAAAAAAACACAATCATCAGACCTGATGATTGTGTTTAGTATGAAACAGTGTCGCTTCTGAGCGCTGACTTCAATATTCACTTTTACACTATATATATATATATATATATATATATATATATATATATATATATATATATATATATGAATAACTAGGGGAAAAAAACACAAACTTAAAAAATCCATAGTTAGTAATAAATTTATTTTGATGAATATAAGCATATTCATCTCATCAAACTGACTACATTTTATAAAATGGAATAAATATATCCCAGAGAGACAGATATACAAAGATAATAAAAAAAAAATTGAAAAATAAATTGAAAAATAAATTAAAAAAATAGAAAAATAAAAAATCCAAGATAAAACAAAGGCAAAAATAAATTGACCTAGAAAAGTTTTCTTTGGGGGGCTTACATTATGAAGTGGGAACAGAAACAAGAGTGAATAGAATGGGGTTAAGGGAAGATAAAGAGATAGAAACGTTAAATTTTAAAACAGATTTACAACAATGTGTCAAAGCCACAAACACACACGTATATGTAAAGCACACATATATATAACATCCTGTCTTCTGCTGTTTTTTAATTTTATTTATTAGTCACTTTGGGTGGGGAAGGTCTTTAATATAGCTGACTAGAAAGGAATGATTTGTTTCTAAATTCACCTCTTTATATTCATTTAATTCTTAATTAATCCTCAAACCCCATCTTGTTGGATTTTAATATGTCCATTTTTATTGTAATATTCTTCAAGATTATCAGTATATTTCACAAATATCAATAGCCGTGATTAGTTTTGGTCTAGATAATCAGTACCATTTCATCTCTCATAAGGTTAATGAAAAATGCTTCCAAAGTACTTACAGGTGTACTTTACTAGCCATACAGCAGCAATGAGAGACTCCAGAAATATCAAGGCTTCCAGGTAATAAGGTGGTTTCAATGGCCCACAGTGGGGGTTTGTGCTTGGTATACAATCAATCTGTGTGAAGATTTGCACTATCAACATCATTACTATGGCACCTGAAAATGGAAAAAAAAAATGTAAAGATAAAGACAAAAGTGTCAAAATGTTACAAGTTCATATTACATGCCATTATTTCCTTTTATCAATTCTATTCTACCTTTTTAAAAAAAATCTTGAACCTTCAAACAGTAAGTTTTTTTCATTATTCAGACTTTTGCTTAAATAAAAATTCAAGCTGACATTATGAAGCCTCTTTTAGGTCTATTGAAATGCAAGTAGAAATTAACAAAAATGACTTTCATGTGAAAATATTTACCAAGTCAAATAAAGACTAAAATATTTCTTAACATCTGTTAAATATAAAAATTTTACTTTGTCACAATGTAGCAAATTTCATCCACAAAGTCAACTTAAAAATGTTCAATTGAAAAAAAATAAATGCAAGTGAAAATAACATTTAAGATTTTAATTTAAAGGTTATAATAATTTTTTTTTTAAATTAAAAAAAAAAAAAAAAATAAATAAATAAATACAGCCATGTTTGAAAGTTAAATGCAGTGGAAGCCAATAAATTGTTTTTTTTTTTTTTTTTTTTATGTACATGAGTGCATAAAAGACCCCCACAACCCCAAAAAAGAGTTTCCATCCAGGTATTTTATGTAAATAAAATCCATTGAAGTCTCTAGTAGGTTAATATTTACAGTTGTAAATTACAAATACTTTTACTTAAACTAACTTAGCATGTAATACTAAAAATAGAAATGTTTACAGTATGGGGGAGGGGGTGTCTTCTAGGTCACCAAATACAGAAAGATATTGGGTGGGAAGCCATACAAAACTTTTCTAATACTATTCAGTATTATTTTCAGATACTGTAATAAAAAAATAAATAGTGTGTGTGTGTGTGTGTGTGTGTGTGTGTGTGTGTGTGTGTGTCATCAGCACAGAAAGTGGGGTCAGCCAGCTGAGTTCAAATTCCAGTCAATGATTGTTGAATCCATTTTTTCAAATTCCACTGGGAAAGGCATGAATCCATCTAATCTTCCTTCAGCTATGGGGTAAATAGTAGGGAGGCTAGGCTCTCTAACCTTGGGTAGCAACCAGCCTAAGAACTGAATTCCAAATCCATGAAGGCAACCAGAAACTACTTTGCTATCTATTCCAAAAATAAATGCCATTTCACAGATAATGGTAAAGGAATTTGGAGCACCATGATAGCCTGCAGCCCAAAAAGGATGTAACAGTCAAAAAGAAAGGAAGACTTAACAATAAATAAAATTACAGATTTATTCCCCAAATCAAAGTCTTTAGTAAATTTCTTTGGCAAAAGAACTGCAGGCAACAGTAAAAAGATGGTTATAGAAAAAAAAAGACTCCAATACTCACCAACTGTAAAGATGATAAAAGGTATATGTCGAATAAAAAGGGTCTGACGCGAGAACTCAAAATAACCAGAGATATAGATATGATAATGTTGCAGGTAGATATAAATGTTGATATAAAACATGGCAAACCAAGCTGCTATATACGAATAGACAATTATGGACACAGGATCAGGATAACAAGACACACATAATGAAGGAACAAGGGACGAAATCAAACAGAGTGTTATCTGAAAAGAGAAGACAAAATGAAAAAGTTACTGAAAGCATTTGGAATAAGATTTCCTCAGATAGAGGTCACACGCATCAATAGTTACAAATTTCTTTTTTTAAAAAAAAAAAAAAAAAAAAAAAAAAAAAAAAGTAGCCAGGACATTTTACCACCATGCAACTATGGGGAGATCTCATTTCATATTAAAATTTTTCAGATTAACTCATGACTAATATACCTGTGTCATCAAAAATGATGGCCATTGTTAAAATGTTTTAATATTGTGATGCAATGAAACAAAGGTTTTGAGATAATGTATTGAGATCTTAATGAACCAGAGATAAAGAATTCACAACTAAAGTAGAGGCCAATGAAGTGTTTAATTAATTTGTTCCCATACTAGTAAGTTTCTTAAGATTTCATGCTTTATTACATAATAAAGAAACCATTGAAGTGTTTACACAATTAGTTCCCTTATTAATATGTTTCTTGTACAGAAATTCCTTATGTATAATACGCATTTTTTTCTTAAAAAAAAAAAAAAAAAAAAAAGCAAAATTAGGGGTGTGTATTATACACAGCTACAAAAAAAATTGCCATTTCATAGGTCATTTGACACTAACATTTGCTGATTGCAACCCCGTGTGTATGTCAAATACAATCATATATACCTAACAATACCTACAAATGTAAAATAAAAATCAGAATTATCATAAAACTAAATTAGAATAACATTTTTTGTTAATTGTCAAAACTGCCTTGGTTGTCCTTATTTTCAATGTTAGTTTTTACTTTTTGTTCTGAGCACTTGATAGAGCTGTCCATGAGCTAATACTAGGATTGGCAAATAGACACCAACATGAGAAAATGCTTAACCTTACAACTTGTTAGAATTATATAGAATGGGACATGAAAGATATAAAATACACAATATTTATTATATAAATTTCTAATTTTTTGGAAAATATTTTATCAGAGTACAAACTGTCACAGAAAGTTTGAAAAAAAAAAAAATTTCCATACAAGGTTTCTCAACTGGTGCATCCAAGTGCAGTAACTCTAAGTTAACAGAAGAGTAAGTTATTAATTAATTTTATATTAATTGTTTTAAAAAAAAAAAAAAATCTTTGTTTTTAAAAGTTAGACACCGAGCACATGGTTTTCATGGCTAAGTATTTGTCATTTGAATTTTTTAAATTAGATGCTAAATTCCTTAATTTTTAAGGAGTGGATAATCTTTCACTTTTCTCAAGGGATTTAGATTGGTCAATTATCAGCCTCACTGAGAAAATAAAAATAAAAATAGCAAATTCTTCATAAATCCCTTTTAAATGAAACTGCACTATTAATCTTCTTTTTGGATGCTAAACCAAATTTCAGGACTAACTTAAAGTGTACAACCACAGTTTTAGTTATTCTATTTAAAAAAAAAAAAAAAAAAAAAAACAGGCATCTACCAGGAGGTAGGAAACAAATTTGTTATGTTTAGTACCATTTTTCATATTGCTGTAAGGTTGCCTATCTGTGTCTTTTATAAATAATTACAGGGTAATTGTTCAGATGAGATCTTTGATATGGTACCTAGACTTTTTGAATTTAAGCGCAGTACCAGACTTGCATCAAAATCTCATTAATTTACAGTTGTGCTGGCTAAATGCAGCCATAACTTCTATGCTAACAGTCTCTTTACTTGCACTTCTCACTTGTGGAACTCTGTTTTCGCTCCATGCTTCCCAGCCAACTTTAATCTGCAAAAATTTAAATGCAATGTCAATCACTATCTGCTGTCCTCCTGATTATTCTTCTCTATTTACACATGTTTATGTTCCTAATTCCTCCTCATCCTGTAACCATTTGCACCTTAGTGGCTGTACTGCGTTGCTTGGAGTACATTAAAAAAAAAAAAAAAAAAAAAAAAAAAATCATCTTAACCACATTAAATCAATCTATGAGAGAAAATTGGTCTACAAAAAGGTACTTACTGGTTACCATTCTACAATGTGTGCCTCCAGAATTGCATGAATGGAAATAATCCAAGAATTTTTAGGCAATGGTACTCTCAAATCAACAAAAATATATGCAATCAAAATATTAAAATTACACATACATGCACACAATCATATTATTTTGTGTAAAACTGCTTACCAATATGCCAATCTGAGCAAATGCAGTCCAAAGTGTTTTGATTGTACGATATGGTGGTTCCATCTCATCTGTGAATAAATTTAGCCGGTCAGTCATGACATCTGTTTCTGTGGACAAGTCGGGCCCAAAGTAATGACCCTAAAAAAGAGAAGCATAGACAAAACATTGATCAGATTTCAAAGAGAGAAGAATGGATTTTTCTAAAAATTTTCCTGTTGGTCAACATCTTTCACTTAATCTTAAGATTGTTTCAACTTCATAAATGACCAACTTATGAGGAATATAAAAAAAAGAAAAAAAAAAAAAGTGCCTGAAAAACAATTTTGTGCTCAAATCATTCAAATAATAAATTGTTTTTTAATATGGTTTTCTTGTTTGTCATTTATGTACCATTTATATTTCAATCCCCACTTGTGTTTAATGAACATAAAGGTGATTACAAAGTGGATTCCAAAATGTTCTCCATTGCTAAGCAAGGTTAGGCATAATGAAGTAATAGCAGTTATAAGATGTTGCCTTAAAGTTTAGCTTTCAGACAACATAGTACAAATATGCAATATTTGTGGCTCAAAAGAAAGTACTTCAGAGTTGACAGTGGAAAGTAAGCATTGTATGTATTATTTACTCATTAAAACAATGAATTTAGGAGTATCGTTGTTTTAGTAGGAGTATTTTTTTTTTTATTTGAAGTAAGAAAAGTAACAAACATCCTGTGTGAACAATAGAAAGCATGAATTCATTAGATACTGAGGAAGGTGCTGGAAATTTGTCCAGCACCAGCAAAAAACACCAGCAGACAGGTATGAACATAAAATATAATAATTGCATTCATAAGATTTAAAAAAAAAAAAAAAAAAAAAAAAGGATTTTCCAGGCATTTTGTTTTTGTTCCAATAATTCACTAAAATAGCCAAGGAGCATATGGATTGATACCCCTGTACACACACTCTTAAGAACTAACAACAAAAATGTTAGACTATTTGTCTGTTTATTTACTAAGAATAGTGTTTAATACTTTTGATGTTACTTTTCAAGAGAAAAGAAAAAAAAGAATACAAAATCTCGTTTCATATGTTCGGGTTTTATTAAAATTGCCCCGAGATACAGCAATAGTAATAGTGCTGTCAAGAAGAGTGGGGGACAAAACATCTTTTTCACACTTTTTTGGGGATATGCATGTTAAACTTTGTGAACATGGGAGAGAGAAATGGGCACTGAGAGAGAGAGAGAGATACATACGAAGAAAATATGTACACACACAAAAAGGTGGGGGGGGGACTGGCTGCACCAAACCTTAATATATAAACACTTGGAAAGAAAGAGGAAGGAAAAAAAAAGGGGGCAATTTCAGTAGAACAATTTCAACATACCCATACATTGTTTTCTTCTATTCAACAATGAATAGAGGTTGTCAGGTGAGCAAGAAGATTAAGTGGGCGGAAGAGGTACAGAGGGGAGAAAAATACAGACAGCAAAATAAGATAACAGCAAAACGTGTAAAAATGTCAAATGAAAAATGCTAAAAATAACTCCATAGATATAGCAGATCATATGTATCACCCAATTTGTGCAGGGATACACCATAACAGAAAAATTTAGAATGTTCAAGTTTTAAAATGAATAAGTTTAATTGCGGGGGAAAAAAAATTCAAAATATGCTAAAGTACCTGCTTCTGTAAAGAAACATACTTATTAGCTTCTGACAAACATCCACCCAACAGCCTTCAGCCCAACTCTCTTCTTACACTACAGACAAAAAAATACAATAGAAACATTAAATAACTTAAAATGAAAATATAACTAGCAAACCCAAAAAAAAAAAAAAAAAAAAAAGTAGACCCCCAAATATACCATCTAATGTGAGGAGTCTTTGTTCCAACTTTCCAACAATGTAAGTAATGTCCAAACCTGACCTCTGATTTCAGACAGAAACAGGTATCATTGCCTCTATCTTACTGCAGGAGCTCACAATCCCAGTCTACTTGCCCCTTATAACAAAAGCACACCCACCTAAATCACCATGACCATAGACCCTATATCAAGGACAGGTTTCTCTGTGGCAGAGGCACAAAAAACAAGGACCCTGATCTCCCATATATGTGCTTAACCATAGTACCAGATTCATCTTTGCTATCATCCTCAGTACAATAAGATAGTAATTTTTGATTGAATATCTGAGAGGATTGTTAATATTCCCATTGAATTTCCCTTGGCTAGCTTTCATATCTGTGGGGTCTTCAATATCCACCAAAAGGAGTGGTTAATCCACTCAAACAAAAGCAATATAGAAGACAGATATTGCAGAGATAGCATGGGTTTTGATTGGTCCAATCCACTGCCAACGTCCTCACTACCATTTCACACAAAATGACTGACTTGATGACAAACACACCTGAAGGACCATAGTATTAGATATTTTGAAGGCCTTTGACAAGGTGTGGCATAAAGGTTCGCTACACAAGCTCTCCAGCTATCGAATCACCGGAAGGGTCTTAATTATCAGGTAGGTCACTGAAGGTAATGGGCAGTCATCCAGGGCCCAGACAGTCAATGCAGGAGTCCCCCAGGGGTGACTTCTGAGACCAACCATCTTTTTGATTTACACAAATGATCTATCTAAGAATATAAAATGGTAAGCTCCTTGTACTGCTCCAGTAAGTACCTGAGTACTCCTGCTATCCTCTACATTTACAAAAGCCAGATCAGGTCAAAAAAAGAAGAACTGCTGTCATATCTTGGGTGGGAGCTGCCCTGACCTCACTTTCCAGTTTCAATAGAGTTCAAAAGCGTCTTAGAGTCATTGTGGGTGACAAATTATTTTCCACCTTTTAACCTCTGCTTCACAGGCAAAATGTGGCAAGCCTCTCACTGTGCTACCGCTACTTCCATAGAAAGTGCTCGGATGAACTACATTCCTTGGTTCCACCCATCCTAACCTTCTGAGAGAGAGGAAAAGAAGGAGGAGGAGAGAGAGAGAGAGAGAGGGGAAAAGGAGGAGGAGAGAGGGGAAAGGAGGAGGAGAGAGGGGAAAAGGAGGAGGAGAGAGGGGAAAAGAAGGAGGAGGAGAGAGGGAAAAAGGAGGAGGAGAGAGGGGAAAGGAGGAGGAGAGAGGGGAAAAGGAGGGAGAGAGAGGGGAAAAGGAGGAGAGAGAGAGGGGAAAGGAGGAGGAGAGAGGGGAAAAGGAGGAGGAGAGAGAGGGGAAAAGAAGGAGGAGAGAGAGGGGAAAAGAAGGAGGAGAGAGAGGGGAAAAGGAGGAGGAGAGAGAGGGGAAAAGAAGGAGGAGAGAGGGGAAAAGGAGGAGAGGAGAGGGGAAAAGGAGGAGGAGAGAGGGGAAAAGGAGGAGGAGAGAGGGGAAAAGTAGGAGGAGAGAGGGGAAAAGGAGGAGGAGAGAGGGGAAAAGGAGGAGGAGAGAGGGGAAAAGGAGGAGGAGAGAGGGGAAAAGGAGGAGGAGAGAGGGAAAAGAGGAGGAGAGAGGGAAAAGGAGGAGAGAGAGAGGAAAAGAAGGAGGAGAGAGAGAGGAAAAGGAGGAGGAGAGAGAGGAAAAGAAGGAGGAAAGAGAGGAAAAGAAGGAGGAAAGAGAGGAAAACCTTTTGTCTAATATTACTGGAAATTTTTTCCACACAATATGAGGATATTAGAAAAATGAAATATTTAAAATATGGTTAATTGATTTAGTTGACTGAAGGTGCAAATTGAGTATTTTTTCTGTTAAACATCAAGGAAAGAAAAACAAATTAGTGCAAAATGTAAAGGTGTTTTGTGATGACATGATGTTCTCAGCATTTCTCAAGTACTTTATATTCTGCATGTAGAAATAAATATGCTAATCAAGTTTAAAGTGGAGCAAAAGTGAGCAGAAAAAAAATAATTTAGTATTCAATAAATGGCGAGTGTGAAAGAATATCTTTATATATGTGGATAAAAAGATACTTAAAAGATCTAGAAAGTCTATTACTAGTCCATATACAAAATGCAAAGTTTCAATTTTGTGATACAAAAAAAGAAAAGAAAAAAAGTTTAGTGGTGGTGGGGAGGGTGGATTGGTGAGATCTATTCAAATTCTGGACTATTTTGTTAGTTACATATAAATGCCTCTGAGAAAGACATCAACCCATCGCTTCACCACCCCATTTGCAAGAGGGTAGACTTTGCTCTCTAGCCTTGAGTGACAACTAGTTAGGATTACTCTGACCTCAAAACCATGAAGGAGGCAACAAGAAACCACTCACTATCTTAAGAAATCATGCAAATTCACAGATAAGAAATGCTGTGGAGAGTCATGATCATCATACCCTGAAGAGACATGGCATTAACGGAGGGAAACCCTATCTCTTATAAATAAGTTTATTTTATGTGAGTGTACGTATACATCCTGGCTATACAAAGGTCTAATTTAGTTACTAAGAACTTCATCTGGTATAATATCTACAAGTACGGAGCAAAGACCGAGAGTCAAACTCAGCATTGTCATGTTATGCAATGTTCACTTGCTAATGATGACTGTAAATTAAAAATTGATCGGATGTTTTAAGTGTTTCCCCAGTATAAGTGGTAATTTCAAGCCATCACAGTTGCAGAAATTCCTGTTCTAGATTTCACTAAAATTAGTTCAGTTTCAAAATGTCAGGTTGACACATGCAGAAAAATATATGGGCTTGAGGAAATATAACACTGAAAACACCATTTGTCACCATAGAAATTACAAATTTGTTTAAAAGGTTTCAATATTTGCATTGTTCAAATTATGGTTTATTTTGTTTCATAGAATAATTTATTTTTACAAAGTTAAAAAAAAAGAAAGAAATAAAATATTGCTAATTGATTGTCTCGATGTGAGTATTCCATTAAATAAAAATTTCATTGGAAAAGTCAAAGAGCCTTAATTGCCAATGTCCTGAAAGGGCACAGCACATAAATACCAAATTTTGCATTTTTTTCTTTTAGTTTAACCCTTAAACGTTGGCCATCATTCATGACTTAAGATAAAAGGACAAACTGGCAACTGTAGAATTCATGAGGTTATTTATTTAGGTTCATGAGGTTAAATCATTTCTTGGATTATTTGAAAGGAGACTTGCTTGATCACACATAAAAAAAAAAAAAAAATAGGCTAGATAAAACATTTAAGAGACTCTACAGTGAATAAAAGACCCAAGAACATGCTTAAAAAAAAAAAAAAAAAAAATCCTGCCATATTCTGTCAAAATTCTATCACACTCCTTCAGGATGTGGGCAATCATAGCTCTCCACAACTTCCTGTCCCTTTTTGTTCTTAAAAATTTGTCTTTTTGCTATCTCTCCTAATACCTGTTCCAACAAACATTTACACAAACTCATTAGGTAGGTTATTTTCTGTTAAAACTATTACATGTTCTACAGGATTTTCAGCATACTTCTTTAGAATTCCAATTGTTATCTGATGTCTGTGAGGAGACTGTCCAGCATTCACTGTCAAAATTACTTTATTTCATTCTTGACCACTAAAAAGCCCTTGATTTTCAATAAACAGACGTAACTTTAATATTAAGTTATTCTAATCTTACATCAAAATCAGCAGAATCATGTGCTTCAACTTTTTGCTGTACAATCAGAAACAATTTTTAAAGCAGAAAATGAGATGAGGGATAATAGGTCATGAGAATTTGCTAAGATAGAATGCAATCAAGAATAAGAGTTTTCAGGTACTTAATAAATCAATTTGTAGGTAAGAGGAATTCAAACAAGATTCAATCATTATGAAGAATTAGATGTTGTCAGTGTAGTTGATAAGATTATGTTGGCTACATCCCAGCAATTTTTAGAGCAATGGAACTGGAATCAACCAATTCAAAGAGATGTCTTACATAACAGTTAAATGAAAAATGCATATATTGAATATTTCAACGTTTTGTTAAATATTTTATATACACATCAAGTTACTGACTCCTTTGAAGAAAGATACTTAATGTGGGTCGTTTTTGTGCAATAATGGTTTCTAGAATTTGGAATCTTTCTTTGCAGTGAGTAATGTATAGTATTTTAGTATTATCGACTAACAGTTGTCTTAATTTTATAGTTTTAAAATCGGTTGTCTGACTATTGACATGTATACAAATTGCACTAAGTTTCAACAGATGACAAGTCAACCTACAGGAGAGTGTGATGCATGTGTGACCAATGTAAGAATTTGATGATTATTGGTATTGGAAATGCTATTTCCCCAAGTATATGGATGGGAATTCACAAAGGGAGGATTTTTGAAGCCCAGAGTTATTGATAATAATTAGGTTGGAGATACAAAAATCAAACAAATACTACAATTTAAATATCTGGGAAATATTTTAACAGAGGATGGAAAATGTGACACTGAAATTTGAAGGTGCATTGGGATAGCCAAAGACTGTTACATAATATCAGTCTCAGCTAAATGGCAGTGAATACTGGACAATCTCCTCATGGATGACCAATAGGCTTGAAAACTAGAAATGTGTTTCACAGAAAGATGCCAAGAATACCATGGACTGGACAAATGAGCAATGTCAAAGTTTTATCAGAAAATGGAAAGAAAAAGTATACTTATACTTAACATCAGAAAAAAATAGTTGAAATTTCTAGCACTCATGAGGAAAAAGGGATTGGAAAATTTGATACTCACAGAACAGATTGAAGGCTAGAGGGAAAGAAAACACATAACCTACCTATCAAGCATGTACAAATGGATGATAGAAAAGTGTTTAGGAAAGATTTAAAAAAAGACAAGATTTATTGAGCTACAAAGGACAGGAAATTGTAGAGAGCCATGACTGCCCATATTCTGAAAGATTTGGTTTGGTTTACAGCATATCAACCTCAATGGGTTATTTAATACTGACAAGATTTTTTATTGTTGGTAATATTTCCCCCCTACCAAAAAAAAAATAAAAATAAAATCTATTGTTGGTAATAACCCAGGATATGAACGTAGGATGCCATAGAAGGTTAACTTTCAATAGTAAATGATAAATCCAAGGCATTTACTGGAATTGTTAAGTGACACATGTACTGGAGATTGATATCTTTAATGTCTTTATTTTTGTTTATAGTTACGGTTATGACAGAATAAATTAATGCAAGATTGGCTGTGCTATTTTTGTTTTTTTATAGATTTCTCTGAGGCTAATTTCATTTGTTCACCAACAATAAATTTAGAGAAATTCTGTTTTATGTTGCTTAATTCTTTATAAAAACAAAGTCCCCCAAAGAAAGTTCTATTTTTTTTTTTTTTTTGCTTGGTTAATCATGTATTTTATAACTATGAGGGTAAGTCAAAAATTATCCATACTTTCACCATAACACAGCTTTAGGTTTGTCCTACTGCCTTCTGTTCATGTGTGCTTATAGTTGATACGATTGTGGTCACACGATCAAAGTTTGAGCTTGATCATACCAGTTTTTTTGCTGATGTTACAGTGTGAACATGGTCAAACTGCTAGCAGTGTGCACCAGAGCAGTGATCTGAATTTGCAGAGAACATGCTAGCTCAGTTTGTCATTACCATCTCACAAGCTTGCTGAATCTTCCATCAGTGGTAGAGGTTGACACATGTCCTGCTCTTTTGCTCACCATGTTCGTCCAGTCAGTTTGAATGTTCGTGATCCACTCATACACAATCCTATGCAGCAGTGCATTGCCATATTGTGTTAATAGCCTCCAATGAATTTCAGCCCTTGACACACCTCCCACCCAGAGAAATTAAATCACTGTTCTTTTTTAATCCTTGGTGCATAGTGCTAGCAGAGAAAGAAAACTGTCACAATTGAGCTCAAACTTTAATCACATGACCACAATAGTACCAACTATAAACCCACATAAGCAGAAGGCATTGTGACTAAACTAAAGATACGTTATGGTGAAAGTGCAGATAATTTTTTTTTTTGTTTACCCTTATATTTTAGAGCAGTGATGACATTCACTTTTTATATCTGAGAAGTCATTTTTGCTTGAATGCATTTTGCCTTTAAAAAAATAAATAAAAAATAAAATAATAATATATATATATATATATATATATATATATATATATATATATGAATAAATAAATAAAAAGGCAGGGTGTGTGTGTGTGTGTGTAACAAATGCACGGACGCAATTTGACAGATTTGCACCAAAATTTACATGTTCATGCGTCAAGCTAGCAGGAAGGTTAAGACCAACTTTGCATTTACCAACTCCCATCGATAGTGGAAATCGATTTTTTTCATGCTTCTACAGCAGTATTCATGTAGTTTGCGGCCATTTTCTACTGGCCAGAGTGAGAGCCTATAGCTGGCTGCCACAAACAGGCAGGAAGATTCTATTGGCCAGCGTGAGAGCCAACAGCTGACTGACATGAATGTTAACTAGCATGCAAAAAAAAAAAAAAAAAAAAAATGCATTCGTCACAAGTGGGAAAAATTTAAATCTGCATGGCATTTTACTCCAATTGGCTCATTTGCTTGCTTAAACTCAACGTTGATTCTGATTCTGCAGAACTGGGTTGGGTGTGAAAAAGTATTTGTTGTAAACATTCTTTTTTTCATTCAGTTTTTCCAGTTACGAGTTCTTTTTTAAAGCTGATTGTTTTGTGTTCATTTTGTTTAGTTCTTTTTTCATAACAGATTTAATGTTTAGTATAGAGCTTAGAAAAAATTTGCGGTGTGAGATAGGCAAGAAGTAAGGCATGTAGCAACATCAGCATGGCAAAGGGCACTCCTTTAAAGGCAAGGAAGGGCAAAAATATTTTAAGTGATAGCGATTGCTGTACAAGTCATACGATTTTTAAATCG